CTTTGGAGAAAGTGGGGCCTCTTTCAAGCCACGGGGAGGGAACCCGTCCCAAAGGACTTGTCTCTGAGCATGTACAGAGTGCAGTTCCTTCTTCCCATCCAGCCACTGCAGGGCTTCCAGGCAAGGCTGAGCGACTCTTCTCTTAGCAAGGGAGCCGAAGCCTGCCGTGGCCTCCCTTTCCCCGTGTGCTGGATGAGCCCCTTCCAACAGTCGGCCCTCCCTCCCCTTCCCTTCCCTCCCCAGGTAATTTCAAGCCCAGTGAAAGGGGACAGATCCTGAAGAAGTTCAGCGCGGTGGAAGACGCCTGTCTGGCCCAGCTGATGACCGACGCCCTGCGCCCCTTCGTGCCGGCCTACCACGGCCTGGTGGAAATGGGTGGGGAGCGCTATATCCAGATGGACGACTTGCTGCGCGGCCTCGACCTGCCCAGCATCATGGACTGCAAGATGGGCACAAGGTCAGGGCCTCATCCTGCCTTAGAGCAGAGGCTGGGCTCCCATTTCCCCCATAGCCCTGGCGAGGAGGTCCTTCGTCCTCTCCCCCTTTGGAGCTCTTGCGGGGCAGGGAGGATGATTCCCCCCCCCCAGATACAATATTCTGTTGTGACTTCTCCTAGGTCCAAGGCTGAGTGGCTTTTGGCATGCCTTGCTCTCGAATGGGCGGTTAGAAGCCATTAGCTTTACCAAATGCCTGCTCCTCGTTGAGCTGATAAAGGGCCACGGCTAGCAGGGTTCCGGCTGCCCACATTCTGGACTTTTCTGGGGGTTGCCTTGGTCTCTCCGTGCATTGTTTTGAGCCGCCAGTTTCACCACGAAATTTGGGTGTGCATCACGCTCAGCATCTCTTCCAGGGTGGGGGGGGACTCTCCAACGCAGAAAAGGGCAGGTGTGCTCACTACTAACCGGAGTTCAAGGCAAGCAAGTAAAAACCAGGCAACGTGGTTGGCAGAAAAAAGAGAAAAGCAGCCGAGGGATATCTTTTGCATCCGACCATGGCTATGTGGAGGGTTCCCATGTGAGTTAGTCCATCTTGCATTTGGCCTTCCTCTTTTCCCGCTCCCTTTCCCACCTTTCCCATCATGATGGTCTTTTCCAGAGAATCTTGCCTTCTCATAAGGTGCCCAGTGTTGGAGAGCCTCAGCTTCAACATTTTTCCTCCAGCGATAGTTAAGGTTGATTTTATCTAGGACCCCCTTGTCGGTCTTTCCGGCAGTCAAGGGCTTCCAGAGAGCTCTCCTCCAGCATTTCAGACAAATCAGTTGTTTTTTCTCCTGTCATCTTTATTAACTTTCCAGCTTTCTCCACCCATACATAGTGATTTGAAATACGTACAGGAGTGTAGATGATCTTGGTCTTTATCTCGCACGACAAGGCTTGCCAAAATTTGGAAGGGAGTTGACAGCAGGGAATAGCAATAATGACAGCAGGAAGAAATGGGAATGTGTCCCTCCATATATTGTACCACATGCTCCTAACTGGGACACCTGGGAGTTTTGGGGGCCCGGCACTCCCCTCTTTAACAGCCTTTCCCTCTTGTTGCCCCTTCGGATGCCCTTCCCCCCCCCGTCCAGGACCTACCTGGAGGAGGAGCTGTGCAAGGCGCATCAGCGGCCAGTGGCGCGCCGGGACCTGTACCAGAAGATGGTCAAGGTGGACCCGCTGGCCCCCACGGCCCAGGAGCACTCCCAGGCCGCTGTCACCAAGCCCCGCTACATGCAGTGGCGGGAGGGGATCAGCTCCAGCGCCACCCTTGGCTTCCGCATCGAGGGCATCACGGTGAGTAGCCAGCCGGACAGGGGAGGAGAGGAGTCGGGCCGACGGACAGCCCCGTCTGAATCGCCTGCGCGCATTATGTGGCCCGCCCCGCGGCATCCCACGATCCCTCCGTATCTCTGAGCCTGGCCTCCCGACCTTCTCTTTGCAGATCGAGGGGGGAGCGGTGCAGCGGGACTTTAAAAGGACCCGGACGAAGGAGGACATTGTGGAGATCTTTATGATGTTCACCAAAAGCCGCGCGGACGTTCTGGTGAGCCCTGGAATCGAAGGGGAGAAGAGGGTCGAAATCCAGATCCCTAACGAGAACCAGGCCAGATCCTATTGGCCTGCCCGGTGCGAAGACTGGGACGTTCGTTTTAAAAAATAGTCCATTAAGGCCACAGTGTTGAGCTTGCAAGAGCAGCGTAGAGCTGGTAATGACAGGAATGATGATGGTCTTATGAATGAGGGGCCTTGATGGCGCATAACAAGAGATCCTTATCTATAAAGTCCTGGACAGTTTGGGTCTGGGCTGTCGGAAGGATTGCTCCTCCCCACACTGGCCTTCCCAGTCCTTAAGCTCTTCCGAGGAAGGCCTCCTTGG